ACCAATTAAGCCCCAAATAAAATTAATTTGACCCATTTAAAGTATAATTAAGTCCTTGCACTTAATTAAATCCTTCATTTGGACCTAAATTAATTCTTAAGCATAATTAAATTTTAATTTGGCCCATGATTAAATCAAATTGGCCTATTAAAAATTTAATTATGTTATTGGACTTAATTTTTATGCAAATTTGTCCAATAATCATTTAATTTGACCTTTGAATTTGTATTTTTCTATTTTTGGGCATAATAGGGTACAATTAGGCCTTGAAATTCCTTCCAAAATTGCAGCTTTATTTTTGCTTATTTTTGCAGTCTTTCTAGATCAGTTTTCCCCACATTGCCAGCCTTTATTTTATTTTTTTATTTTTATTTTTTAAAAAAGTGGATTTTAGGGAATAACCCAGAATTGGGTTATGACACAAGTCATGACCAAAATTATAGAATTTAGGACTACCTTTCTCTCTGCTTTAAATACTGCCTCTTTCTCACCCACCCCTTGAATAACCACAGTTTTAGTAAAGCAATCCATTTGTGCTTTATGTCTACTTAACTAATCCAAACCTAAAATTAGATCAAAATCATACAATTCTAATAATATAAGGTCCACTCTCAATTCCACTCTCTCGATGTATAATACCACTCATTTATATACATTATCAAAGTCTATATTTTCTCCTAAAGGTATACTAATTATCATTCCTACACTTAGTTTACTTGGTGATAGACTTAAATTATTCATAATTTGATAAGTGACAAGGAAATGACTAGATCCAGGATTAATTAAAGTACAAACTTGTATTGAGCCTAGTTGTAATGTACTTGCTACAACATCTGGCATCGCCCCCATATCTTCATGAGTCATATGGTATATCCTACCCCGACTCCTTTCTTTCTAGAATTAAGGTTGGCCCCTATTGACCCTTACTCCCGATTGAGGAGATCGTATGGGTTGATCCATTATCACTGATTGTTATTGGCTTTGTATGGTATCCTCTTATCTTTATACCCTTTTAGTGGCCCTATATCGACATTCTTTTTCTCTTTTTTCTATGACTTGTATCCCATAGTGGAAACAACCTCTCCTCAAGTGTTAGAAGTCCCTTCATTGGTGCCCCTCACCCCTATAAATATAACATCTTTCCAGCATTGGAAAACATTCTTTGGGGTGTTTTTGATTACACCTCATAAACAACAGGCAAGTGGGACCTTTCTATTCCACGGGTCCTTCTATAGTACTAGCTCCTTGCTAAGTTTGACCCCTAGTATGTCCCATAGTGTTAACCCCTTTAGCTCTCTCTAAACTTCCTACATGAACAAAACTTCCCCCTTTCTTCTAGAGCTGCCTGAAAGACTAACTATCTTTACCTTTTTTAGATATAAAGCTCTCCCTAGTAGAGGCACAAAGTCCATTCTCTTAAACCCTGTCATTTGACTTTATTCATTGACCGACCTTGAATTATTATTCATTACCCTCTTTACACCCTACACAGCCTATACTAGATCCTAGACGAACTAAAACTACAAAGCTATTAATATTATCTTTAGCTCTTGCTTAAACCTATCATAGAATTGTTCTACTGAATGACACTCGGTGGGAAGGTAAGTGGTGGAAAAGATAGATAAGTCTTGAAACCTCCTCTCGTATTCTTGTCAAACATGGACACTCTCTATTAACAACTAGGTCACACAGTCCACTCAGGTTTCCTCCAATGCTTGTATCTGATCTATAACTTTTTCTACCTCTCTCAACCAATGTTCTACTACTTCAGCGTCTTCTTCTCCTGAATAAGTTGTACAACCAATTTCCAGCCTTTCACCCATTGAACAAGGGTAACCATTCTCTCTGTCTAAGAGGCAGGAATGAATGTGCTTGCTACCATTCCTGTTGCTACTGCCTTGACTAGTTGCTCTAGAAATATAGAGCCTGAATATAGGTTTGGTGTGGTCATCGATATAATTGGTGGAGGCATATATTCTGGTTCCTAACAACCTGTTGCTTTGGGTAGCAACACTTCTACCCGATAGGGTGCAATGTCATTTTGATGCCCTCTTGATTCTTCCCTTTTAGAATAAGGTGATGCTACTGGTAGATGAGAGGCAATGTTATTAGTGGATCCCTTTCGACTTCATTACCATCCAATAATTCATACTCTCTTTGCCTTATGGGAGATGAGTCTGTCACTACTCCTTATTATGTATGAACAATCTTGTAATATATTTTTCAAAACCATGTCATTACTCTAGTTTTTGAAATTTCAACTTGGCTCTGATACCAAAATATAACATCCATATTTCCCAGATCAAACAACATAATTATACTACTGAATTTATAGGTAGATTTGTTTTTGTAAGGTTTACCAAAATTTTTACTAAAATTTTAGTAGTGTCTACCCTATATCGAGAAGATCCCAAGTTATCGACAATTTATCCTACACACATTTCATGCTCATTTTTCAATCATAGCATATTCATTTTGCATCGTAACCAAAATTACGACTAGTCATAAGTATAATAACTCATATATTCATTGTCCTTTCTCATTTACAAACACATAAAAATAGTAGTCAAACATGGATAAGCAACATCAGCATTACAAGCATAAAATAGTAAGAATATTAAGTCTCAATGATTGATATAAAGAGATACTGATACAATTCGAGTCATTTAATTACTTCGAGCAAAATACATTGGCATTCATTTAATTTTTATTTCATACAGAAGGAACTAGAAACAATAATTTCTTATTTCATACAAAAGGAATTAGAACCATGAATTCCCTAATTCATACAAAAGGAGCTAGAAGCCTAAGACATTACTCTTGGTGTGATTCTGAAGGACATGCAATATCAAATTATAAAAATAATTATATGAAAAGTAAAAATACAATAGAGATAAGGAAGAGTCACAATTCCATGTATCTACATATATAATTACCTACTCACTAGTACATAATCGTTGATGTTCTAGGAATCCACACTTAAATTTTCATTTACTACTTCTAGGGCCTATTGTTTCGTGAACCACTTATAGCTTTTCTTTTTCGATTATTATGCATTATTCTTCACTAAATACACCCATCTTGCCATTTTGTCCTAAATTTAAAAAGATTACTATTAACCCTAATAATTTTTATTAGTGTCATTAGTCTCCCTTATCCAGACTAACTAATCGAATCCTTGGTCATGCCAGCACCAACATACCAGTTGGTGTCATTAATATTCCAACTTGAAATTGTCGATCAATTTTTTTCCTCCTCACTTTAGAGATTTTACCAATAATACTGATGCCAAGGTCTCTTAACATCATTAGCTCTGATTAGTACTTAAAAGTATATTTTTTCATGGTTTTATATCATTATTTTGCACTTGAAGTATCAATAACTCCTTAACTAAAGCATGTTTTATAATAACATA